TCCCAACTGACTGCAAAATTATCTGAACCCCAAGGCAGGTGCATAATTTCAAGTGATGAGATTTTACTCTTACCTGGACAGGGTTACCTCATGTTATATATGGAACCCTGGGAAAATACAATCTGTGAAAGTAAAAAAATCTTCTCCTGAGCAAACTGGGCCACATACCTAACTCCAGGCTCTGAGGGGACCCTCTTGCAGGTGTGGGAGGGAGCAGCTAATTAAAAACAAACAGGCTTAAAAAACAAAACACCTCCTCTTCAGTGGGAACTCTCTCAGGGTTCTACTGCCCTGTTTTGGCCCCTCTCCTTGGAAACCGTTCCACTTACCAGCTGTGACTTCCACGTTGAGAGTGTATTTCTTTCTCCCCGGCCTAAGTGGTTCCTTCATACCAAAGGATGCACTGCAATTGTGGACACCGCGTAGGTGACACATCAATATCAGCTGGTTCCCAGGGATTTCGCGCTGAGGTTCCTTCCCCAGGGAGAGGTCTGCAGACCAAGTGCAGCTGAGTATGATCCTGCTGCATCTGAAACGCAAGCTCTTTCCCTTCCCTGATGATCCAGGCACAGATTGCTTTTCAAAAGTGAAAACATAGGCAATTACACAGCGGAGCACAGCATACTGCTTAGGGCACAGGATCTCTGCTCAGACCATTTGGGTTCAAATCCCAAGTCAGCGATGAGTAAGCGCTCAGCAAATGCTAGTTGTTATTTTACTTTGAATAAAAACCTTCTATTATGGCCCAGCAGCAGCAGCAGCAGCATGGTCCACGACCTACAGATGTTCCCCGTCTCCCTAAACTTCTCCCGAGCTGTTCACAACCCATTTGCTTCTTCAGTTTCTCCGACATTACAAGTGTATTTGCCTCAGGGTCTTCCCACTTGTTTTTCTTCTGGTATGAGCTATTCCACCAGGTCTAATCGGCTTCTCACCACTCAGCTTTTGGGTTTCATATCAACCCCTCTCTGAATCTATTCAAAATAGCTCCTTCTTCCCCAACCTAAAACATCACCGTTTCATTTCTTTTATGACACTTATCACTGACCTGGACAGGGTTACCTCATGCTACTTGTTGACTAGTCTCTCCCCGCCCCCATTTAAATATAAGCTCCATAGCAATAGGAAATCTCTCGGCCTTTGGGTTTTTTTTTTAATGTCTTTGTTCTCCAACCAGGGATCGAATCCAGGCCCTGGCAGTAAAAGTTCTGAGTCCTAACGACTGAACTGGAAGGCAATTCCCTCTTGTTCATCCTTACCCCAGAGCTCAGAATAGTACTGGTACACTTGATGTTAAATGAAAAGGGAAAAAGTTATCTAGTTCAAATCCCATCTGACTGTAAAAACCTAGCTACAAGAGAAAAGTGAGTTTCAAAGAATAAAAAGATCTGAGTCCTGTAATGGCATGGGTGGACACCTGTCATATTCTCAACAGCCTATCTACTGAAAAACCTTTCCCTAATTTGAAAAAAAACCTGGGTTAAGAGTTCTGCCTCCCTACTGTAGACGTCAGAATTCAAAATCCCAGTGGCTCTTGTGACTAGGATAAAGGCATGTGAGCAGGCTCTGCTCACCAGACACACCCTCAAAAGACTGACTCAGAACAGAGCCAGTGCCATGGCCAAGTCGCTTCTGTTGTGTCTCTTTGCAACCCTATGGACTGTAGATCTCTTCTGTCCATAGGATTCTCCAGGCAGAATACTGGAATGGATCGCCATGCCCTCCTCCAGGGGCTCTTCCTACCCAGGGGTCGAATCCACGCCTCTTCAGTTCAGTTCAGCTCAGCTCAGTCGCTTAGTCGTGTCTGACTCTTTGCAACCCCATGGACTGCAGCACGCCAGGCCTCCCTGTCCATCACCAACTCCCGGAGTTTACCCAAACTCATGTCCACTGAGTCGGTGACGCCACCCAACCATCTCAGCCTGCCGTCCTCATCTCGTCCATGTCTCTCATGTCTCCTGAATTGGTGGGCGGGTTATCACCAGCACCACCTGGGAACAGCAATGTAAAGCCAACTTTGTTTTCTGGCCCCTGAGCTGTGGTTGAGAAAAACATCTCACTTCTGCTTTATTGACTACGCCAAAGCCTTTGACTGTGTGGAGCACAGCAAACAGTGGAAAATTCTTAAAGAGATGGGAATACCAGATCCCAGATCATCTCACCTGCCTCCTGAGAAACCGTATGCAGGTCAAGAAGCAACAGTTAGAACCAGACATGGAACAACAGACTGGTTCCAAGTTGGGAAAGAGGTACATCAAGCTTGTATACTGTCACCCTGCTTATTTAAGTTATATGCAGAGTACATCATGAGAAATGCCAGGTTGGATGAAGCACAAGCTGGAATTAAAATTGCCCAGAGAAATATCAATAACCTCAGATATGCAGATGACACCACCCTCACGGCCGAAAGCGAAGAGGAACTAAAGAGCCTCTTGAAAGTGAAAGAGGAGAGTGAAAAAGCTGGCTTAAAACTCAACATTCAAAAAACTTTAAGATCATGGCATCCAGTCCCATCACTTCATGGCAAATAGATGGGGAAATAATGGCAACAGCGACAGACATTTTCTTGGGCTCCAAAATCATTGCAGATGGTAACTGCAGCCATTAAACAAAGATGCTTGCTTCTTGGAAGAAAAGCTATGATAAATCTAGACAGCATATTAAAAAGCAGACATTACTTTGCCATCTACTCAAAGCTATGGTTTTTCCAGTAGTCATGTATGGATGTCAGAGTTGGACTATAAAGAAAGCTGAGCGCTGAAGAATTGATGCTTTTGAACTGTGGTGTTGGAGGAGACCCTTGAGAGTCCCTTGGGCTGCAAGATCTTTTTTACAACTAGTAAGTTATCTATTTTTGGCTGTGCCAGAGCGCCTCATCCTGGTGGCTTCTCTTGTTGTGGAGCATGAGCTCTAGGAAGCATGGGCTCTGTAGATGTGATGCCTAAGCTTAGCTGCCCCAAAGCACATGGAATCTTCCCAGACCAGGGATCGAACTTGTGTCCCCTGCATTGGCAGGCAGCTTTTTAACCACCGGACCACCAGGGAAATCCTGGCCCACAGTGCCTTGAAACTTTAAAAACTGTACTGAGATGCAAACATTTTACATTTTTATCTGTGATTTCTGACAGCTATAAGCTTGCATACATCAATCAGCTGGAGGAGAGGCTCCCTTTGGATATGTGGATTGCCTCTAATATATACTCATATGCCACATGTTCACTTTTAATTGTTGTGTATGTTGGAAGTTGGGCAGGCTACCTGCCATTTCATGAAAATGCTGTTGCATAAGAAAACAAACATAAAATGCTAGAATAGATTAAAAAATAGAAAAGGTAAATTAAAGGGGAGTGATGGGGAGGTGCTCTGGAGGTGTAGTCTCAGTCGTGCAGGATAGGGGCTTCTGGAATCTGGTGCCAGCACATGCATGTAGCTGACAATACTGTTTGTACACATGGAGACTGTCAGGAGGGTGAAATTTATGTGTTTGTTTGCCACAATTTAAAAAAAAAAAGGAATTCACAATGTTAACAGAAGAAAAAAAACACCTAAGAATGCAGAAAAAGCATTTGATGAATTCAATGAAAACTCTTAGCAAACTATAAATAGAAATTTAATCTGAGAGAGGTTATTTACTTACAGTAAAGCAGTAACAGGTAATACTGGTCAAAGTTTTTCACCCGAAATTTCGAAGGAGAGAAGAAATGTTTATTATTTCACTTTAATATTGTATTTGGCATCCTGGCCACATAGTAAAGCCAAAAATTAAAGTAACAGGTTGAACATGGAAAAAAGGACAGGGAAGGGCAGAAAGTTGGGACTTGGACCTGAAGATTTCAGAGCAAGCCACACAACACAGTTTAGAAATTTCTATTTGCACAACAGAAGGTGGAACCTGAAGCTAAACCTATAAAAAACATCAGTGATTTATAAAAGAAACTGACAAACTACAAAGATGGTCTCTATCTTACTAGACTGTAAGTATCTTACTTGGCTATTAATTTGAAACAATAAAATGACCACGTCCCAGGTAATTTGCATTTTAACGTTTAAATAATTTACATTTTAAATATTGATTTCTCTATAAAAGGGGTCCCGGAATCCCAGTCCTGGTTGGTGCCTTGTTAGGTACTGGACTGCAAAGTGGAGAGGTGGGTGATGGAAACCGAAATTATCCATCCGCCCTCCCTCCCCCCCACCCCAAACATGTCTTCCATGAAATCAGGCCCTGGTGCCAAAATGGTTGGGGACGACTGCTCTAAAACTTGTTTTAGCATTTGAAGTAGAAATAACATCCAAAAAATGCCTTAGTAAACAATAAACTGAGCTTAACTATTTTATCTGTAATCAATTAAGTTTACTACACCTTTCCAAGCATTAAAATGTACAATTTAAAGAGCAAGTAAACTTGGGAGCTTGCTGGGAGGGTCTATCGGGGAAGCACAGCTACTCCCAGGCCCTTTACTGAAGACCCGTCCTCCTCCACCAGGGATGGCGGTCCGGTTTCAGTGAGGGCACAGCTTCGGGAGAAACGCTCATGGGAGCGGTGGAGGAGGAGACACCTGCCTAGCTAGCCAGGTCAGTCGCACCAACCCTGGCGATCAAAGGGGCGACGGGTGTTACAACCAGATCGCCCTCACATCCTGAGCAGCTTTTTATTTGGGGGGGAGGGAGGGGGCAGCACAGGCAAATGACCTGAATTCAAATCACAAAGCCCTGTCACTTACATTGTATCTCACCAGTTCAAGACACCACTTGCAGCAAGTGCTGCAAACACAAGACAGTTCACAGGAACAATGTTATCACCCCTTAATAACGACATCATTCGATAAATTACAATTTTAAAGATCCTTATAAAAAGAAGTCCACCTAATCACAGGTACTGTAGAATCCCAGACTCTTCCATACATACTGGAAAAAACAACTGCAAATAAATAAAGGTCAAAAAACTTTAGGTAACATGGCAACCTACACCCTTCGCTGGTCAGACTCCACCAGTCACCTCAGTACTGCGGGAACGTTCCATCGATTTTGGCAGCCCAGGCCATGAGCCCCCCTACAACGTCCTTAACTGTTAAAGAGTCTAAGTCTGTCCAGGACTGCAAGACCTTCACGGCTTTCTGGGAGTCGTTGCCCAGTTTGCAAATCACATAAATGGGGACAGACGCCCCTTCCTGTGTGCCCTGCTTCCCTTCCCGGATGGCTTCTCCCAAGACTTTCAGGCTCTCCGCATCCCGCCGTTCCAAACGTTTCAAAGGGATGTGCAGGGCGTGAGGCAGACGACAGATGTCCACCTCCACTTGAGGCCTGACGTCCAGCAACAGGTGGGGTGACCCAGAATCCAGAAGTCGCTTATAGTCCATGACGGAAATTCGCTCCTCCGGGCTCAGCAACCGGAGGGAGCGGCACTTATCCGTGGCCGAGGAGCCGCAGAAGCTTTCATAGTCCTGCAGGTCTGTCACGGTGGGCTGCTCCCCGCAGGCGGCACAGTCGGGCCTGCGCCTCCGCAGCCGGATACAGCGAAAATCGCCTCGGAGAGCGTCAAACAGCAACAGGCGGCCGCTGTAAGAGGGGCCCAGGCCCGCAGCAGTCTTCAGCACTTCCAGAGCCTGCAGGCAGCCCAGGACCCCGGTCACCGCGCCAAGCACCCCGCCATCCGCGCAGTTGGTCACCGTCTCCGCCGGGGGTGGCCGAGGGAACACGCAGCGATAGCAAGGCCCCTCGCCATAGTGGTAGACCGTGAGCTGGCCCTCGAAGCGCAGCGCGCTGGCGGACACGAGGGGCCGGCCGGCGAGCACACAGGCGTCGCTCACCAGGTAGCGGGTGGGCGCGTTGTCGGAGCAGTCGGCCACCACGTCATAACGGCGGACGAGGTCCAGCGCCGTGGCCGGCGTCAGCGCCTGGGCGTAGGGCACGCACTCCACCGCCGAATTAAGGCGGCGCAGGGCGGCGGCCGCCGAGAAGACCTTGGCCTGGCCGGCCAGGGCCTCCCCGTGCAGCACCTGGCGGGGCAGGTTGCTCGCTTCGACCACGTCGTAGTCCACGAGGCCCAGGCGGCCGACGCCGGCCGCGGCCAGGTACTGCGCCAGTGGGCAGCCGAGCCCCCCGCAGCCCACGATGAGCACGGCCGCGGCCGCCAGGCGCAGCTGCCCCTGCACGCCGAACTCCGGCAGCACAAGCTGCCGGCTGTAGCGCCGGATCTCCTCTCGGGACAGGGCGGCCCTGAGAGGCAGGGGCGACACCGGAACCGAGCGCGCTGACTCCTGCCCCGCCGAAAGGGCCGCCGCCAGCCTCTGCTTCAGGGAACTCAGCTCCTCCTCACGTTGCGCGACTTCGGCCTGCAGGGCCAGCACTTCCTCCCCGGCCGCCATGCCCGGCCTCTTTCCGGAAGTCGTCGTGAAAGGCATTTCCATTTCCGGCTTCTCTTCGTCGCGAGGCCGGAGTAAACCAAAACAAAAACTTTATGGAGCTTGAGCAAAGGTGATAAATAGATCCTCATTTCTTGCGCCACACTCAGATTCAGTTTCAAATGTTCACAAGTTCTGACTGCTTCCAAAGGAACCGCGAAAGGAACCTTAGGAGGACTAGAACTCGGCCACATAGACTAGCCCCCCCTTCTCAGGATTTGGTCCTGTCCAACCCGTCACTTTCCGCCCCGTGTGACGTATTTCCGCTTCCGATCTGTCGCGCAGTTCCGCCATGGCTGCCTTGGAAGCGAGTCGTATTTCTCCTAGGTCTCGGCGGGAGCCGAAGGGGCGCGCCCCGCGGCAAGACAAGTATTCGGTGCTTTTGCCCACTTACAACGAGCGCGAGAACCTACCGTTCATCGTGTGGCTGTTGGTGAAGAGCTTCTCCGAGAGGTAGCGCGCTGGACCGCCCTCCCCGAGGAATGAGATGAGCTGGCTTTCCGGGCCTGGGTTTCGGCCGTTGGCGGCTGCGCGAGGCGGCGTTGCCCGGCCTTTCTTCGGCCCCCTCGGGAGAACCTGGGGAGGACGTCGCCATCCGAGGAAAGCAGAGGCGGATTCCTCTGCGCTTCTCTTCGTGTCTCGGATTCTTAGTCCCGCCCTTGGGTTTTATGAAGCACTTCTTTATTGTACACTCTCCGATAGCCGTCTGCGCCTCTTTTCTTAGAAGGGCTGGCCACCGTTTTTAATGCCCGCGGGTCCGAAAACCTGACCTCGCTTCTCCCTCATCTAGATGATCGGGCGGTGTGGCCGGAGCCGGGACGCTGAGCGAGCCCGCTGTCTCCCGCCCCCTTGCCGAGGGCTTCTGTAAACGGGAGGTTTGGGCCCTGTGTTTTAGGGAGCTGCTTCTGGGCTGGGCAAACCTTGTGGAGAAGGCAGAAAGGCAGACTCGCAGGTGGATGTTTGATTGTTTAAAAAAAAAAAACTGGCAGGTGTTGGTGTTGAGTTTGAAAATGTTAAACTTTTTTTTTTTCTGTCTTCAGAAAATTCTGGTATCAGTACGAATTACCTTGTTTTGGGGATCATGTATAAATCTTTGATCTTTAGGTATTAGCACATACAAACTTAGCAAATTACAGTGCTTGAAAATTAGATAATATCATATATCTTTCATTTTTCCAACCGGGTGCTCTCAATCGAGTACGCGTTATTTACAGACTTTTTTGTTTTTCCTCTTTTGACTTCTGTTTTACAAATGAGGACGGAGACTTTTTTCCCCGACGTATTTGTAGTAAGTGCTCCTTACACATTCTTTCTTCGCGGTGGAATTGCTGAATCGACAGAAATGTGCTTAAGATTGATGTAAAAGTAAAGTCGCTCAGTCGTGTCCGGACTCTTTGCGACCCCATGGACTGTAGCCCACCAGGGTTCTCCATCCATGGAATTTTTAGGTAAGAGTACTGGAGTGGGTTGCCATTTCCTTCTCCAGGGGATCTTCCCAACACCGGGGATCAAACCCGGGTCTCCCGCATTGCAGGCCGACGCTTTACCGTCTGAGCCACTAGGGAATCCCGAGATTCCCAGTCCTACTAAGATTGGTAGTTAATGCCAAATTGCTGTCAAAAAAAAAAAAAATTGTACCAGCTTAGCACTCTGCAGCGTTTATCAGAGGGGACCTTTTTCCTCACGAACCAGCCAGCGGTATTAAACGTACATTGTGGGAAATGCTGATTAGTGAAAAACACTGCTGTTTGATTATAATTATCTTCACATTCATGGCTTTTCAAAGTTTTTATTCATGGCTTTTAAATTTTTAAGTTATATTTTGATTTCTCAAACTTTCCGATTTAGAGCAATTGTCACATAACTGGCCTTGCTCTGTCTTGTTTGTGATGACGCGATATTTTCTCTGCTCTGTTCTTTGATGTAGTGCAGTTTATCTTTAGTAACTTCCGGGTGGAGAATGACGTTTAATAGGGAACAACTATTTTCTTTTCAGATGGCAGTCTAATTACCTAAAGTCCGCTCAGCTCGATTCGTTTAAGCTACCTCTTCCTCAGGTGGTCTTGGTGCTTTGAAGTGTAGAGGAGAATAATTTTGCTTATGAATGACTTCATTTGTTTATGAATTATCTGAGCACCACAAATAGAATCAACATCTTAACTTGTTTTGACTTGTAAAGCACATGCCCGGATTTAGTGCCCTGTGGGGAACTGAAGTTGTCTTTGCTGTTAAGAGAATAGACAGACAGGTTTTGCTTTCTTCCGAGTGTGCTGGCGGCTGACTTTTTTTTTTTTTTAAGCATTATAACAGTGGAATGTGTTTTCTGGTGGTTTTCCTTGCATTTGTTTCTTAAAGCAGGAGCAGAGGAAACATAATGTCGTGTTATGAGGGTTTATCTGTACCTCCTCTTTCCCCATAAGTTTTCCAGAGAAGTTAACAAAAAGAATGTCTTCTTTCAAGGGGGTGGGGAAAGATGTGATGGTGAGCACAGGTATAGCCAAGTATTATGCTGACTTGTTTTTTGAGTGCAAACTATCACGTGAAGTTAATGAGAACAATAGAAAGACCTTAATTCAGAAGCACTGACATCTTTTGTAGTTCTGTGCTTTTTATTTGATAGTGTGGGGTAATGGGTACAATTATTTGAAATAGTGGTGTCAAAGACTGTCACCATCCTCAGGTGGAGTTTTTTTAAGGATGTAATAAAATCATATTCCTGATTATGTTATTTAAATCTATTGGTGGTTAAGTTAAAAAGAATAATCATCCAGAGCTACTCAGCTGACTAGATACCCTTTAAATGTATTTTTGAAATAAAATTTCCCAAGTGGATAAGTAAAATATGATACCCTATCATATATAAATATATGATCAATAATTTTTTTTAACGAAAGGATATGTTTTATGTGAGAATTTTAACATCTCAGGACTGTATAGTAGCATTTCCAGCAGTCGGGCCCACCAATAGGCAAGAGTTGCTCTTGCTGGCCCCGGGGCACCCGGCATGCTTCCCTTGTGACCCAGCTGGTAAAGAATCCGCGCAATGCGGGAGACCTGGGTTTGATCCCTGGGTTGGGAAGATCCGCTGGAGAAGGGAAAGGCTACCCACTCCAGTATTCTGGCCTAGAGATTCCATGGACTCTATAGTCCACAGGGTCTCAAAGACTTGGACATGACTGAGTGACTTTCACTTTTCACTTACATAGTTTGGAAGTGACATACTGAATATTTGACATTTATTTCAATTGATAATTGAAGTTTTCCTTGGTAATTAACATGGAAATAGATTTCCACTTATACTAGGGAGGAGTTAGTGACTTTTAAATTGTTTTTTCGTTTGAGACTACTGTCTCCAAGCAATACAAATTTAAATTTTTTTTATTTTAGTGGCTTCAACTATGAAATTATAATCATAGATGATGGAAGCCCAGATGGAACAAGGGACGTTGCTGAAGAGTTGGAGAAGATCTATGGGTCAGACAGAATTGTAAGTCATTTTTCTATCATGTCAGTTATGTTTATATGGGGGAAAGATGATAAATGAACAGTGCACAGATTCCATCTGTCTAGAAACTGAAAAGATAAAGAGCAGTATATATGCTTGGGATTTAGATGCATTTTCGTGGTGCTTGAGGTTTTACATACCTTTGGTATTTTGAGTCATTGGTAGATTTATAGCAGAACAGTGGGCCTTTGGATGAACTCTTTATGTCTGACTCTGCAAATCAGTTTCCTTGAAGGGCAGAATTAAAGCGTGATACTGAATTCAGAAGGAGTATTATAGAACTGGGGATTTCCCTGCTGACTCAGTGGTAAAGAATCCTGCCAGTGCAAGAAGACTTGGGTTTGATCCCTGGGTCAGGAAGATCCCCTGGAGAAGGAAATGGCAAGCCACTCCAGTATTCTTGTCTGGAAAATCCCATGGACAGAGGAGCCTCTTGAGCTGCAGTCCATGGGATCTCAAAAGAGTTGGACACAACTCAGCGACTCAGTAACAGTGTTTAAACCTAGGTTGCAGTTAGTAATGTGTGCCTTGATCTTTCTTGCTCACTTTCTCTAGGTATTCTCCTACTTTCAGTAGAGGATACTGTCTGCAGCTAAAAACTTGTAGCTGGGAAAGGTGACTGATAGTTTTCATGTGAAACATGATTTTTCAAAGAACTTGGCAGTTTTACCTGTAGGATACTCTTGTGAGAATAGATTGACTTTCTGAGTCATAAACTTTCTCACTGAACCTTAAAGCCTGTTGTTCTTCTATGGGAGTAACTTGGGCTGATGTAGAATTCTTTTTATAGTTGCTTTGTTGTCTTTATTTTTAATCATTGATTTGGCTTTATCAGTGCTGGAGCAGATTTTTTTGTTTACTTCAGCTAATTCTTGGGCCAAAACCAGTTAAATCCCGATTTAATTAGAAAATGCCACTTTAGACACTGAGTATTTTGTAATTCGCATAGACCAGAATTTCTTGTTCTTGGCACTACCAACTTTGGGACCTGAGGGGTCTTTGCTGTGAGGACTGTCCTGTATGTTACAGGATGTTCAGCATCAGCCCTGGACTTTACCCTCAGGATGCAGCAGCAACCCCCCTCCCGAGTGCAGCAACCAAAAATACCTCTGGGCATGGTCAGATGTCCCGCTGTGGGCAAAATAATCCCCTCGTGCTAGAGAGACCCCATTGGTGTAGGCATAAAGAAGTCTCTTGGAGAACCTTTACTGATACTTGTATTTCAAGAAGTAGCAACTAAGCATCATAAACAGTGGACTCCTGAGTGCACATGTTCTTGATTAATTCCAATAATGAAATAATTTCTGTGCTGTCAGAGGAGATCTTAATGAGAAGAATTTAAAGGAAATGTGTTACACTCTCTTTTTTTAAAATTTATTTGGCTGTGACAGATCTTAGTTGTTGCATGCAGGTTCTAGTTCCCAGACCAAGGATTGAACCCAGGCCCCCTGTATTGGAAGCTCAGAGCCCTAGCCACTGGACCGTATCAAAGTCCCAGGAAATGTGTTACGCTTATGTACAGTGTAAATCTATCCTGTGCTAGAGCTTCCTTCCATTTCACAGACGCGATTCACAGAACTGTCACACCTCAGTCCTCTGAATATTTCCAGAAGTACAAGCTTACAGAGGAGATAAAAATGAAATGAAAACTTAGATGAAAATCTTAAGTTTTTCATCCTTTTAGCAATGACTTTTGATAATGGTTGATTAATAATTAATTAATCAATCAATTTGGCCAACAGTTCCTCAGTTCTTCTTTTATAGATTCTGGGCCGACTGCACTGATTCACATAATGCATAGAATATTCTCATTATGTACTTCCATTTAACCCGGAAACATCAGCTTGACAGTTTTTTGAATACTTTTATCTTCGAACCTCAACCTTGAGGTGTGATTGATTGTGCCTGCTGAATTGATCTCAAATTCTAAAACATGGTCTTCAAAGAATTCCATCAATCTGATAAAATTTAAAATGATGAGGGGAAAAAATAGCATTTACTGTCACGATTTCCATGGGCTCAGGGAAATTGCCTACTCATTATTTTATCATTTTTAGGTCATTTAAGAAAATTACTGGGTGTGTGTGTGTGTGTGCGCCAATAAGAAGCTATGCCAAAGATGGTACTTGCTTGCTTTTTGGGTCACATAAGTATATTTAGTTGTTGGAGGGGTGGGGGGAATTGAGGAAAAATAGGAACTATCTTAGAAAATCTCAGATAAAATATTCATAGATGCTTTGTTAGCTAGCCTTTCAAACTGGCTGGAAGGAATATTTCAGCAGTGAGAGAAAGATGGAGCTATTTAATATAAACCTTTGAAAGTCTGAAAATTATAAATAATAAAATTATTCTTTGAAAAGAAGTTTTTTTTTTTAAGCTAAAACAGGATTATAGAAAATCTAAGATAAACTTTAAACAATTTGAGTTTAAAATGAGTTTGTTTAGGTCAGTATTTTGACGGTAACCATCAAGCACAGAATCAGATAAAACCTGACACGTCATTTTATTTTGTTTAGTGAATTGTAATTATCATAGATGATTGATTGAATGGTTCTCCTGTATATAAGAGCTCATCAGGTAGGAATCTATTTTATCTATCTTTGTTCCTCCTTTAGACCTACAGCAGCTTGCATGTAGTTAAAAAGTATAACCTGTTTGAATAAAATTGAAAATACTTTGTTTGGAGGTTTGCAGTCTGAGGCAGTCTGCCTACAGACTGCCCAGTGCAGTGGGGTGGGTAGGAAATGCTCAGGGGTGAGGCTTCGTCCCGTATCTCAGAAACTTGGTGTCAAACACTGGCATTCTACTTTTCCAGGGATTTAGAGAAAAAAGGGAAAAACTAAATAAGTCAGGGTTTATATGTGAACCAGAAAGTGTAGAAAGACTGACTGACAAACAATAAGGAGAAAGAAAAACAATCTTTTAGGAATATAGCCTGAAATCATGTGAGTGGATCAATAGAGAGTGAGATAAGGTCATCTAAGCATAAAATCAAGATAAGTTGATGGAATATCAACATTTAAAATGAAAGAGGGAATTGAAGATACAAGTATGGTTATCAAATATTCCAAAAAGGTATAAGTGAGTTAAATCCTCAGTTTCCTTAGGAAGGAATCAATAGATACTGCTTAAAATGATAAATCAAGTAATAGACAAAAAAAAACACATTGTTTTTTGGTGGATGGGGGGTGGAGTTTAAGATTTTCTAGGGGGGCGGGTGGGGGTAAAAATGTTACTTTTCCTTAAAAGCTGTTAAATTATACTTTGTTACTAAATGCATTTTTTATTTTGGAAAAAAAATGTTAGGCATATTCTGCTTTAAGTTCTAATAAATGCAGCTGTATTTCTGTTAAAATGAGTGAGCACTTATTTAAAAGGTTTTATTAGATTTTCGTTTATTTGTGTTAAAATGCCATTTCTTATCCTTACAGCTTCTAAGGCCACGGGAGAAAAAGTTGGGACTAGGTAAGCAGAACCTCTCACTCCTGTGCCCCCCTTCCCCCCCCCAATACCTGCTCCTTACCTTGGTAAGATTTCCCATGTGTAGTTTCCCAGTTTGGAATATAAGGAATTTAATATAGAGAATCTGGTTACACCGGTGAAGGAATTGCTGAGAAGCCAAATGGAAGAGTGAGGCTACTCAGAGATTAGTAGCTGCTGGAGGTAACTGCTACTCCCCTGGGGCTGGAGCAGCGATGGAGGAGCTGGTGTTTTTAGAACCAGGAACCCGATCTGCGTGCCTGGAGGAGCTAGAATGGTGAAGTCAGGGATACTGGTGGAAGTGGGCGCCGTGGAGGGAGTCTGGTCCATGCTGAGAGGCAGAGTGGGGGGAGGACTCTTGGGCTTTTCCCCTTCTGCTTGAAATCTCCCTTCTTCCTGTGCTTCCCAAAGCTGTTTGGAAATCAGTTGACAAGAGAACAAATATAGTATCCTGCGATATATTTAGAACAGAGAAGGGATCTAAGGGCAAACATTTGGACCAGCACACTGCCTTAGCTGTAAGTCCCTGAACATTTCTTTAAGTCAAACGCTTTTAAAAGGTTTTTTTTTTTTTTTTAAAAGAAAGCTGTTCTGGCTTTACAATGTAAGAGGTTATAGCAAATCTCAAATGAACTCAGTCTCATTCTGAGATAAAAATCTTGAATGCCTTTATTTCTGTTGTGGGTCACAGTTGTTTTATGTTGAAAAGTGTTATTATTACTGAAAAATTGGGGGAGCATGGAGGAAGCACAGTCCTTGGAAATTGAGTATCTGTTGTCCTGAAGATCCTTGATTTCATGGGATGATCAAATGTTCTGAATATCTGAATCCAGAAGGTTCTTCGAGATTGAAGTAATCTTGAAACTGCCCTGAAAGCCAGCAAGAATTATTAACCAGTCAGTGTCAATCCAAAAACCTATAGTCAGTCACTTCTTAACAAAAGTCAGAAGAGTTCAGCCTTGCTAATAAGATACTGTGTTGGCTTGGGGCTAGAGAACGCAGGAATCCCCATCTCCTGTTCCTGCCCAGTCACTCTGAGCCGCCAAGTCCCCGAGGGGCTTCCAGGCACGAGAGTGGCTGAGATTGCTAGCTGCACCTTTGGCCCCAGACAGAGGGCTCTTGTGCACCAGGCTTAGTGTGGAAGACACTCCCTGGGTGGCTTGTGATGGAACAAGCAGAAGCAGAGAAATGGGTGAGGTGGGGTCCAGGACTAAAGAGATGATCGTTCAGTGTCAGCTTCAGAGGACTAATGGATGCTTTTCAGAGAGGCTTAGCAGTTTCTTCCCTGTTTAGATGTAGACCTCAGCATTTCCAGTGACTTCCTCTAATGGATACAGATGTCTTCATTTTTAGGAACTGCATATATTCACGGGATGAAACATGCCACAGGCAACTACATAATCATCATGGATGCTGACCTCTCACACCATGTAAGTGGTATGTTTCTTTATTAGCTATTTATTATAGTCTTAGGCTATTTTACTGACCTACTGTTTATTCTTAATTTCAGCCGAAATTTATTCCTGAATTCATTAGGTAGGTATTTCTAATATTTGAAAGAATTACAATTCAAGTCATTTATCTTATATTTTTACTTAATTTTTCATTCATTAAAATGCTCGTGCTGTTTTAAGTTTGTATCAAAAATAAAACCAGTGTATAGATTTGAGGCCTGTGAATATAGTTACAAGACTAAAGGAAGTATTTTAGGGGCCCTGAGAGGACTAACTGAAAAATAATACCTTTATTATCGAATTCTATAAACACTATAGGAAATTTCTATAAAGTATAGTTAATTTCTATAATCGCTATAGAGAAAGATGAAAAACACCTTCCCTGTTAACTGGAATTAAACCCTGCATCAAAAGGGTAGAACCCTATGAATAGATGGGGAATGAATGCCAAAATCAGGAATCTGTCAAAATAATTCATTTATCATATTAACAAAGAAGGCAGTCTGATTAAGTCTATAGGTGCTAAAGGGTATGTCATAAAGTTCACTATCCATTTCTTCTTAAAATTTTAGTATAGAAATAGAAGGAAATCACTTAAGCATACTAAAGACAACCTAGTCCTAAGTCAGAGGTGTCTTAGCTTTTTATTTTTTGCTGCACCGCATGGCTTGGCAACGCATTCCAGTATTCTTGCCTGGAGAATCCCATAAACAGAGGAGCCTGGCAGGCTACAGTCCATGGGGTTGCAAGAATTGGACACAATGTAGTGACTAAACCACCACAGCTTGTGGGATCTTAGTTCCCTGACCAGGGATTGAACCTGGGCACTCAGCAGTGAAAGCAGGAGAACTAACCACCAGTGGATTTCCCCATGAAACTCTTACCAAATGGTGAAATGTTGAATTAATTTTCAATAAACGCATCAATGACTGTAGGTGTACAGGATATCATTAAACAGGGAAATTTTAAGTAATATTGTAACATAAGAATTTAACATATATCAGTAAAGGGTACAAAATTCTATTTATTTGCAGGTAATGTAAAAATATTTTTAGAAAATCCAAGAGACCATGAAACCTTTCAGAAAAAGAACTTGGAAGCTGTTCTGAACATAAACTAAATAGAAAAACAGAGTCAGATCATGTCATTCACTTGTTTAGAACACTACCAGGAGTTCTGGGAACACATGGAAAATCCGCTTGCCACTCAACCCACTTTGAAGTGGCCCCTGCCTTGCAATCTGAACTCCTCCTCTGCCCCCCACCCTTTGTCTGAAGTGCTCTGTCACGGCTCCTTCATGCCAGCTACTCCTCTCATCTCTGCATAAAGTCACCTCAGAAACACCTTCTCTGCTTGGGTCACCAGTATGCAAAAACTCCTTTGACCTGGTAAGGCGGTGGAACCACTGGACTAGAAAATGGGTGAAAGATGCAAACAGGCCATATGTAGAAGAAATCCAAATGGCTAATAAACCTAAGAGAAGAACCTCGTCCTGGGACGTAGTCAGGGAAATGCAATTAAAATAACCATGTGTTACTATTTACTACCCGTTAGTTTTTCAAAATTAAAAGCCTATGAAGCAATACATCCAGCACCGATAAGATGGTAGAAAATGGACACAGATGTTGCTGGAAGAAGTGTGAGTTACTGCAGCCTTTTCAGAAAGTAATTTCTTGTGATATCTGTTAGAATTAAAAATACTTAAGAGCTTTGCTTTAGCAATTTTATTGAAAGCTCAGTGGTTTTTTTAAATTGATAGCTAATTTATTTTTTCTATAGGAAGCAAAAGGAGGGTAATTTTGACATTGTCTCTGGAACTCGCTACAAAGGAAATGGTGGTGTATATGGCTGGGACTTGAAAAGAAAAATAATCAGGTATATACATACAGAAAATGTGCTTATGATTTCTCTTTTAGTGTAACTATTAGAATTATGTTTTTAACAAGTATTTGGATTAAATTACCATGTGGGGTTTGTGAAATCAGATTGTGACTTCCAAAAAATATTCCCAGGTAGCTTCTTACCTATGATTTTTCTAGAGTATTTTATTTTGGGTGCTTTTCACTTGGGGAAAATCTGCATAAACCTTTCAACCTTTCATAGAAATGATCTAATTCAGCAAAATTTATTCTGTGTGAACCTTCAGCTCTAAGTGAACTATTCATCTATTTTTGGACTAAATATATCAATATTTTCTAATAATTTAAGATACATTATGATTTCAGCTTTTACTGAGAAAAGTGATGAAGCTTTGGAGGCAGACTTGGGTTAAAATCCTGATTCTGTCATTTAAATTACCTGTGTCCCCTTGCTTATCTTACCTTTTCTAAGCTTTATTGTCCTCATGATGAAATGGAAGTAAAACAAGCCAGTTGAGTTTTCTGTTACAGTGTAACAGACCATCCCAAACTAAGTGACTTAAAACAAATTTATCATTTCTGTAAATTCTTTGGTTTGCCTGCTGGTTCCTCCGCCGCCTTTACCTGGGCTCGTTCACGCAGTTTCCTTCAGCGTGAGGTCAGCTCTGCTGGTAGCTCCCAGATGGCCTCGTTCATGTGTTCAGCAGTTGGTGCTGGTGGTTGACTGGGCCCGCCTCAGTTCTCCTGCCTGTAGCCGCTCGCCTGGGAAGCTGCCTCAGCTGCTTTACATGGCCTCCGAAAGGCACACCCAGAAGCACCACAGCTGCAGCTGCAAGCACTCTTTCAGTCCTGAGCTCTGGGGCTAACACCACTTTAAATTTTGGTCAAAGCAAACTCGTAATCAAGGGCTGGGGAAGTAGAATCCCTCTCTTGATGGGGAGACCCACAAAGAATTTTTGACCACATTTAGTCTAGCTCACCTAGGTTGTTGGAGAGAGATGTTTCTCTCTCTAAAAGATCTACCTAGCTTATTGCTTTTTGTGTAACAACATAACTTTATATAAATTCTTACTAATAGTACTTTTTATCACTCATTCCTATCAAAGGTTTGTGTTAGGTTCAATTTTGCCTCTTAACTGTGAAACTTAAAACATGTAAAAAGCCTCAATCTTCAGTGAAATGAAGGGGTTAGATAAATGAGCAGTTTTCATTCCTTCTGAGGATTAGAATCATGTAGGAGGAAATTATACACATCTGCTCCCTATTCATCCTCCCTTCCTTTCTGTGTGTACACACCTTGGAGACCATTTGAATGGACCTCCAGGGATGGTGCGAAAGCCTCAGTATTTTTCACAGGTTCCCAGAGGATTCTGTTGTGCACCCATGGTTGAGACCAACAAGTCAGTGATCTCTTGGGCCTCTCTGAATTTGGTCATTAAAACTATTATTTAAAATCAGGGAGTCCCAGTGAGAGACAGTTTACAACTTTTGGTTGGATCATTTAGTTGTATTGAGTTGTATCCATCATGGCTTCTTAATGTTTGCACTGACTATAGTAAAAACGGCTGAGAAAGATTATCACTTGCTCAAGGTCTCATTTTTATATTCCAGAACCGGAACTTGAACCCAAGTCTGTGACTCTTGCTGTATTTTGATGTTGTTCAGTCATGTCCAACTCTTTGGGACCCCATGGACTGCAGCATTTTGGTTAAAGACCCCAGCTTTAAAATGCATTACCTTGAATAGATGTATAATGTATAAATATATACATATGCATGCACACATACACATAAATACATATACTCTCACATTCCTTGGGTTAGACTCAATTTTGTGGGATAAACTATGTCTTGGAATTTTTTTGTAACGATTAGAATTAAATTGCGGGGGCAGCGGGGTATGTTTTTGTTAGCCATTATCCCAACTAGATCCCTAGCCGTGAATTTTATATGAGATAGGCTGTTCTGAGGAGTGCCTTGATGGTTCTCCTGCCCTTGGAGAGAAACTTTTTTCCACACTGCTTCCCTGCCACCTTCCCTCCCTCCAGAACAACTAGTTTTCTGAATCTGAGCACACTAAAATAGCTGCAGTGCCAAAGTCATTTTTTCCAAGTGTACTTTACATCTTTTTGAAATGTTAATAATAGCTATTAGTCAGTAATAGCTTATAATTGATTGATACATGGTTGTGCTTGAAGCACAGACCCTAAAGTCATTGTTACTGGCTGAATGTTTCCAAATTCATGTGTGCCTTACTCTGGGAGTGTTGGTGTTCAGAAATGGGCTTTGGGGGAGGTAATTAGGTTTAGCTGAGGTCCTGAATGTGGGGCACTATTTGGTGGAATTAGTGCCCTTTCAAGAAGAAACCAGGAGAGCTTGGCCTTTCCCTACCCCCACCCTGAGCTCCACCCTCCATGAGAGCACCCACCAAGAAGGCACAGGATCCTCACCAGGAACCAAGTTTGCAGCACCTTTATCTTGGACTTTTCTGCCTCCAGAACTGTGCGAATTGAGTATCCGTTGTTAAGTCACCCAGTCTGTGGGTTACAGAATCCCAAGCAGAGGGAGCAGTCTCAAGAGTGGAACCTGTAGTTGGAAACAGCCCTCCCTTGGTGATTTGAATCTGAAAAAGCAGTTCAAATCCCTGATAGATCACTTTTCCTGTCTTGACAGATGTTTGTAATCTAAGTTATGACTATTGGAGAATATGCAAGTGGAGTTAAAAATCTATTACCATTCTTACCCTGGTAAGAATGACTGGTGTTTGGAGAATGACTGTTTTATAGGTCATCTCCACATGTCACATTCAAAGAATAAAAAATACCTATTTTCTGAAAAAATGAGAACTGTCAGATCTCCTTTCACTGACAAATCCTTGCTTTGTTGCATTTTTGAAATTAGTATAGCATTTTTAGCGTTGTGCACTTGTCTGTATTTCTTTCGTGTAGAAACTATTTTATAAAGAAAATATTTTCTTTGACAGCCGTGTGGCCAATTTTATAACTCAGATTTTGCTGCGACCAGGAGCATCTGATTTAACAGGGAGTTTCAGGTACAGTGAAAACTTATAACTGTATGTTTTCTACTATTTACGATTTCTTGCCTAAATCTCCTGTTTTATAATGACTTATTTTAAAGAAACTCTTTTCATTTGTACCCCATTTTTGTTCTGGAACACTAAAAAAGGCAGAGTGAAGTTGCTTAGAGGTGCCAATGAAGCCTAAGCATCTTCTTAAGGGAAAATACTGTACTTTTTAAAGAGCAGGAAAGACAGGTTGGTGTGCCCAAAGTTAGTATCACCGCTCAGCCCTTGAGAGGCCTGAGGTGACCACTAACTGCTCATTCAGGACATAACTTCTTGTCTAAATGGTGCAAAGCCTCCTGCTAGGTCCTTGGGGTTTTAATCTCTGAAACTAAAATGTCTCTTCATCTACTTTAAGGTCCAGACTCCATGCATTAGTTAATACATCATATTGCTGTGTATGCTTCTATCCATTAAATGTTGATTCTTCTGACCTTTGATGGAATGCATGTGGGCATGCTCAGTCATTTCAGTCGTGTCCGACTCCTTGCGACCCTATGGGCCATAGCCCACCAGGCTCCTCTGTGCACGGGGTTCTCTAGGCAAGAATACTGGAGGGGGTTGCCATGCCCTCTTCCAGAAATCTTCCCGACCCAGGGATCGAACCCTCATCTCCTGCGTTGGGAAGCCGATTCTTTCCCATTAGCGCCACCTGGGAAGCCCTTGTTAGAACACACAAATACAGAAGTTAGGAGCCTGCTGTTGAAGGTAATGAGTACTTTTATTGCAGCTGCAAGTCTGTTGGATAGCAGTTCAGAGACAGTAAGAGAGAGTCAGAAGTGAAGAGAGGAGCCATCACAAATTAGAGGTCAGATAATGAAAACGAAACCTCTCTAGAATTAAAATGTAAGTTGTTTTGAAAGCAGTTTGGTGTATGAAAGATAGCTACAGATCCATACATACATCCTTCAGTTCCACACTTTGAGGCAAATGAATATATGAAGCCCACATGTGTTATAATGATTTTGAATGAAGACCCAGGGTAGCTTCATTGGTTGTGGAGATGGGGACTTTGCTTTGGGGCCTAGTTCCCCTAGTTACTTCATCACCTAGTGCCTTCTCTCATAGCTTTCTGAAAAACTACAAGAAGAAAAGGTAGAAATTGCTGCCTTTGTATACACTGAGGCTCAAGGGGAATTGGTTTTTAACCTCAGTGACTCTAAAAACAGAGCTCCTGAAGAACAAGATTGAGTTCACCCATAGGACTTCCCAGCTCCTGTCGTCTTTGTAAACCTGATGAGCTTTGCCTTTGGCCTGCAGTCCGTCTAAAGTTAAGAGGTGCATTCACCCATTTTAATTGTCTGACTGTGACCTCATTACTGATAGCGGATTCCCACCAGTATTGCCTCAATCTTGTGATTCCCTACTTCCTGTCTTTAACTTAACCAGGCTCAACCTAGAGGGACTTAGTTTATCCCAGGAATTTATTTAGATCTCAGGAAGTAGAAGCTGCATAGATACTTACGAGGAATCACCTGATAATTACTTCTTTTTTGTTATCGAGTTTATATGGTGCTTCATCATGTACCAACTCTGTTGTCCCAGTATTTGAAACAGTTTCTTCTTTTTCAACTTTAAAAATAAATAAGAAAAATTTTGAAACTACAAACCATGGGTGGTTTTGTTCCACATGATTCACTTTACCATATTTTAATAATTTCTAATAGTGTGATAGGAAGATAACTCTTTAAAAGATACTAAGGATTCATTTTCACAATTGTCCTAAATTATTTACCAAATATTTTTATGGCCTTTCCAGTTCAGGACAAATGTATCATAATCATCAACTGTGAGAACTTTCCTGTAGACAAATGGCCAGTGAAAGTTAAGTTTTTATAAATACCAGTGAATTTTTGGAAAGGTCAGGATACATGTAGGCATGTATATTTATCCAAGTGTTCATACACATTTTAATTTCTTACAGGTTATACAGAAAAGAAGTTTTACAGAAATTAATAGGAAAATGTATTTCTAAAGGCTACGTCTTCCAGATGGAGATGATTGTTCGAGCAAGACAGCTGAATTATACTATTGGCGAGGTATGTAAATAGTGTCAGTTCCTCATAAAGAAATGATAAGGTTTAGACTTTTTATAATAAAAGCTTAATTTTCATAAACTACTAAATAAATGTGGAAGGCTTCCAGGTGTCCATGCAAAAGAGTGAAAATTCACATTCTTTTAAAATTAACATATTTGATGTACCAAGATCTAAAGCTTAACAGAAGGCAGTATTCCCCTTTTAAATAAATAAAAGTGACTGGTATCTTCATCCTTGCCTTTTCTTCTGACCACTCAGCATCATGGGATGAGTCTGTCTGCTGCTTTTCCCCTTGTCTTGGCCATTAGCCACCCTACTTAAAAATGAATGGTGAGGGACTTCCCTGGTGGTCCAGTGGCTAAGACTCCCTGTAACTGCAGGGTGCACAAGTTTGATCCCTGGTAGTGGTACTAAGATCCCACATGCCACGTGGCCAAAATTAATTAATTTTTTTAAAAAAATGCACGGTGAATCCCTTTTGCCCATGGTCTATGAGTAAATGAAAAGGGCAGGAATTGCAGGAGCAGTTTAACACTCTTATTCAGAGCAAGAAGATAGCTAACTGGAATGCTCCTGCTTTTGTGGAAGTTGTAAGATTTTTAGCTTCGTGCTAAAATAGCCACAGCTAAACTTGATGATGGAGAAGGGGATGGCAACCCACTCCAGTATTCTTGACTGGGAAATCCCATGGACAGAGAAGCGTGGTGGGCTAGAATCCACGGGGCTGCGAAGAGTCAGGCATGACTGAGCAACTAACACTAAACTTGATGGACTACTGAAGAAAATTCAGGCCATTTTACTTTTGGAGGATAATTTTTTCTTGAAGCTTGAGTAAACCAACTTAATATTCAGGATCAGCGCCTTTCAGAACAGTAGATCTGGTTCATAGAACCTGTTTTAAGATAATAAAATGCATGTTGCGTTTACTTTTGAAGACTGGGAGGTGCAGGCGGTCACTGTAAGCCCCCATAGTCTGCACTGGCCTTCAGGACTTGCCAGCAGAGGGGGGGCGTCTTGCTTCTGTTGTCGGATGATCGCCGCGCCTGCCGTACTTCTGTCTCGGGCTTGAAGACTCACTTAACGTATATTTTCTTAACTAGGTGCCAATATCATTTGTGGATCGTGTTTATGGTGAATCCAAGTTGGGAGGAAATGAAATAGTGTCTTTCTTGAAAGGATTACTGACTCTTTTTGCTACTACATAAAAGAAAGTTACTCATTTATACTTAATCATGTTCAATTCAGTTTAAACATGGAAAAAGCCTGGTTGCTCAATTTTATAAAATGTACTCTTAGAACATAAATCATAAGGTAAGGCAAGTCTATCTTCTGGAGAAACTCCATTTTATATGTCAAATTAAATTAGAAAAATGAGCAGTGTTGTCAATTTTCGTTTACATTTTGCTGTATTAAGACCTATAAATAAAGGTATATGGAATTTCTGCATAAAAATACTGCTGCTTTCATTAAAGTATATAAATGCAGGCTTTCTTACCGGGGAAGATGTTGAAAACGACTGAATTCATACCTAATACATGCCAGAAGTAAGATGAACGCTAATTACATTCATGAAATATATATATGACTGTTTCTGTATGAACTGAAAAATACACACCTCTGCTCGCTCTTTTACAATGTACCCCAAATTTCTTAAACCAGATAATACATGTAGAGTACAATTTAAATTTGGGTGTTTGCAACTGTTGACTTGATAAAGCGTTTCACCTGTCAGAGCAAGTCTGTTTAAAATACATATCGTGCATTGGAAGCAACAACATTTTATTGCATAGTTTTTTTTCTCTTCTGGGCACAAACTTCTTTCAGTAAAGAAAAACATTGATGACATTAAGGCATAAATTTAGCTGCTGTAATAATTTTTATTTTTTGGCCAGGCCATGAGGCCTGTGGGATCCTACTTCCCCAACTAGGGCTTGAACTGGAGTCCCTGGCAGTGAAAGCCCCACGTCCTAACCACTGGACCGCCAGGAAATTACCACCTGGGAATTACCACCAATTTTCAAACAACTGTTTTTTTCCCTCAAAATAATTTGGTTCCATGTTATTTCAGGACCCTTAACAAAGCATACATCTTTAGTAATATGAGTGAATCCCCTAGATGTCTTCTTTTGAGGAAAGTTAAAAGGTGGTTCAGTAAAGCCAGCACAGACACTCTATTTACCCATTTTAAGCAGGTATTGCAAATAAGATCAATTTCCAATTATAGCTTTTAGATCATGTAGTATCTTTTAAAATTTTGGGTGAAACATACTTTGAGCAAATAAGCTTAAAATCAAGTTGACTTTTCATTTACAAGTAAAAGGGAGAGGCATCTCTAAATGAAATAAATATATCTAGCGGACAGTGTATTTTCCTAGTTTAATTTGGCTGCTAAAGCAATTTAAAATCTGATTTTTCTATTTGCATTCCTAACAGATCTTACCAGAAATGAATACCAGAGTATACAACCTTTGGTGTCATTTTGAACACTACCTATTCCCGTAGTTGAATCATAGGACATGTTCTAATAAGGGCCAGTAGTATTGTGTTTCCCTTTTGTGCAGAGCTGAATAGCTGGCCCACCATGGACCCCTCTCCTTGGGGAAATGACTTCTCTCATCACTGATAACAACTAGAAAATTTATCATCACTGATGTAAAATTAGTTTTAAGCTAACATAATAGAAGTAATTTTTTGTATGTTTTCTTTTTCATCTAAACCCAAAGTTAAATCTTTATTGTCAGCTATGTGGAGCAGAGATTAAATAACCACCTCAGAGAACTCACTACTAAAGTATTGCCTTCTCAGATGTCACTGGAGTAGGTTAGGTACCTTTTGCCTTTTTTAGTCATTTGATTCTTATTCCTACAATCATTACAACAGTTATCACTGTTGGAATTTACTGTAAAGTATTTGGGCAGTGAAAACTTTCACCATTTGGAAGTTATTAGAAAAGAATCTGGACTATTTAGATGCATTTTTGTAGTAAATCTGGTGACTTAAACACTGTAAAATCTTTTTAAACATTTGCATGTGAATCCAGCATCCCTTTTCACTTTGTAAATGGGGCCAGGGATGAAATCCAGATGTTCTCCATTTGTATTGTATTATCTGTGATTCATAAATCTTAAGTATGGTATCTAAAAAAAACTAAAAATTACTTTGTTTATTTCATATTAGTTGTTGCTTGTGTCTTCTGTCAACATGTAATTAGATTCCTCATCTTTGTCTCTAAAATCAAACTTTTCAGTGCCCCCCCCCCCGCCTTTTTAATAGAACTTTTTCCAGCTATTGTTTTCCCTTGAAGTACTGATTTGGCTTTTAAAGATATATTTTATCACAATTTCAGAAATGAATGGAATACTGAGTTGGATGAAACAGCTTGTTAAACCTGCTAACTGAAGCCTTAGACAGTAAGCTCTATGTAACCATAATTTGTACTGTTTTCAATTAAGTCAGCTTCTTTGGGGATGTTACCTGTTGTTTGAAACTTAATTTGAAATTTAGAGAAACAGCAAAATAAGTGTAAGATGTACAGAGCACATCTTAATGGGTTTGGTTAATTCCTTACAATAGACATTATTGTTTAGTATGTTTAGCCAATGATAGACACTCATAGGCACTCAACTATAAAAGATGGGCTCAAGAATGTTGAGACGATGTGTTGGCTGGGGTTGACCTAACGCTTCAAAGGCCTCCATTAATTACGTCCTGTGCTATCCAAATTGTGGGAGCATTTACAGTGACTCTTTGGGACTAGTCTGTGGTTTTCAAGGATCTTGTGGAGGCCCACTGACAACATCATTTCTCATCCTTGGGCTCACTAGTCCAATGGCCTCAAAAAACTAGGGACCCCGTTTGTTTTCTTCAGGCCAAAGAGAAGCGCCCGTCAATGATTTGGAAGAATGCCCTGTCCCCGAGCAACAGCCAGCCTTCTGTAAAACGCAGGCCTGTCCACTGAATAGGCCACCCTACGGGCAAGGGGTCAAGCACCCATGAGTTGGGTTGCATCTCAGGTCGGTGTGTGAAGCACGAGGCCCTCAGGCCTCCTCTAAGGCAGGAAGTGTCTGGCATGGCAGGCCAGGTGTCCTGGACTTCCTTCTGCCAAGCCCAGGAGCGCGGGCTTCCCAGCACGTGGAGCCGCGGGGCTGCCCACAACGCCCCTCCCGCCAGATGTAGTCCGGGCCCAGCCGGGCCCGCGCAGGGATCCCCAGCTCGGCCACCTGACTGAGTGCAGGGCGTGCTGCGGCCCGCTGCTTGTGCCTCCGCCGTCGGCGCTGTGACCAGAGGAAGGCGCCCGCCGTGCACAAGGGCCATGGAAGCGCACTGCGGCCATTATCCGCGGCGCCTCCTAGTGGGTCAATGGCAAATCCTTTTGGCTCTCGCGAGAGCTCCCCCTCAATGGGGATTATATAATTTCCCTTAGGCGGGGATAGGGGTGCTGATGCCACCCTCCCTCAGAAAAAGTTACGTACAAGCACATATAGAAGTGAGAGTTGTCTTTGGGGGGCATGGGGGGAAGGGGTACTGGCCCCCACTGCCCCCCCTACTTAGCTGGACAATGAGTCCTCTTATGCTAATGAGGTACTTACGTCACTTCCGCTCTTTCTCGGCCGCCATTTTGGCTAGGGCAGGTTCGGGGAGTCGCTCCGAGGCGCCTGTATTGTCTGCCGAGGGGAGACGCGGGATCAGCCCCCTCCCCCGCCCGTTGCCGCCGCCGCCTCCGCCGGCCCGGTCTCCCCTCCGCCGCCCGCCGGGATCCATGAACTGAACTCCCGCCCCCCCCGGCCGCCGCCATCTTGTGCCCCCTCCCCCTCCCGCAGGCAGCGCTAAGGGGGATTTTGGCGTCTCCTCAGATACAGCTCCCTCTCTCGGTCCCCGCTGCTGAGGAGCGAGAGGAGCGCGGCCGCCGCCGCCGCCCGCCTGCCTGCGCCGGTGAAGCCGCCTCTCCCACACCCTCCGTCTCCTCCCTCCGCCCCTCCTTTGTCTGCACCGCTCGACGACGCTGCCGCCGCCGCCGCCCGCGCGGGGACTGGAGGGATCCGCTCGCGCCGCCGCCGCCGCCCGCCGCTCTGCTGCGCCCGCCGCGCCCCCCGGCAGCAGCCGCGGCCGCGGCGCGAGCCGGAGCCCGCCGAGGCCGCCGAGCCGGAGCGCGACGAGGCCCCGGGCGCGCCCTCGCCGCCGCCAGCGCCGTGCCGCCGCCATCCGCCCGCCGCCGCCGCCGCCGCCGCCCGGCCCCCGAGCACGCCGGCCCCGCGCGCGCCTCGAGGCCGAGTCAAGGTAAGCCCGGCGGCCGCCGCGCGCGGACCCGCGGCCGCCCCGGCTCCCGACCCTCGGCCCGCGCGGCTCCCGCCCGCCGGCCCCGCGGGCGCATTGTTGTTGGGACCGCACGCGCTCCCTTTGCGCACTCCGGTGCCGACGGAGCGCCCGCCCCGGCGCGGACCGCTACCCGGGCTCTGCTCCGGGGTCCGGGCGCCTCCTCCTGCAGCCCGACCCCCCCCTTCCCCGCCCCGCGAGCCCGCGGAGGCCGGCAGCCGCCCCGGCCGCCAGAGCTTTTGCCGCTAGTGGCATCTCCCTCCACCCCGCCCCCAGCGAGAACCGAGCTGCTCCCATCCTTGGAACCAATCCCTCTCTCCCGCCCCCCGCCCCAAACGACCCCCCCCCCCCACGCACAACCCCAGTCCCTAGGACGAGCCTTCTGCCGGGTCTCCCCACCTTTAGCTGGGGGAGGGGGACAGGTTGGGGGGCGGGGAGCGTGCAGGGCGCGGAGTGAAAGTCTTTGCCTCCCCGGCGCGGTCCTTCCTACCCAACGCGCCAGCTCCCTTCTATCCTGACCACGGAGTCCTCCACCACCCCCTTTTCTCAATCGCAGCTGCCTGCTCAGCACCACCTCTTGCGAGCATTCTGAGCCCCAACTTTGCAATAAGATGGTAAAAGATGGAAATCCAGAAAGCTGCGAGTTTGGTTTCGGTTTTTTGTTTTTTTAGTGGAATGAATGGGGAGTAGTTCTTTGAGCACCCATTTATTCACATCTTCTCTTCCTCTGGACTGCCTCCCTGCCCTCCCCTCCCCCCCAAATCTGGATGCCTGTCTGCTGGAAAAGGCGCGATTACCTCTCTTCCTCTTCTGCCTAAGTCCAGGCGCTAAGACCTAATATTCTTTTCAGCCACACACATACCACACTAAGTCTTCTTGATGTTCTTGCATTCCCCCGTTCCTCTGGACAGTTCTTGCCATAACCCCATTTCTCAGACAAAGGCTTAGGAGGGAAAAAGAACCAAACTGTTTCCTGTGTTTGCCAATTTTAATGCTGTCCATCCCCACAGACCCAAGCCCTTTCCCTGATGCTTCTTGTGCCAGTGTCTTGAACCTTCAGAATGAAAGGGGGGGAAAAAATCTCCTGGATAGCTTGATAGAGTTTCTTTATAAATCTGCATTGTTGCTTCTGGTTTATGGCCATGAAGAAAATACCAGCCCCCACCCAAAATGCACCGCAGCCAAGTCGGCTAAAGGCGATGAGTGTTGGAGTCAGTAGGGGGCGCATTCCCTGCACTGGGTAAGGCTGCAGAGGGGGGAAGGGCCCCAGAGCTAGAGCAGGATGTGCTTCACAGCGCCTTCTACAGACCATGGGAAAATGGACCCAGCAAGACACTCTGACACTCTTTAGTTGGTGAGCTGACAGCAACATGGTGAAGGATCAAGTGAGTCAAGAGCAGTGATTTTATTTCTTTTAAAGAATGCACCCTGCACTTTAGAAGTTTTCTCTTTTGACTTTTTCAAAGTGTTGACCCTTAAGCAATCCACATTTGTTCTTGACGAATCACCTTGGCACATCCTTGGTACACAGATTCCCCCTTCTCTGGAATTCTTCCGCCTTAAGCTTTGAATGTGTCACCATATCTTTCCAAGGTCAGATGGTAAAGGGAAAAATTCAAAACCTGAGAGTAGCAGGTTTGGGGGAGTATTGTTGATTTCATTCCTTCTTCATGGCCCCATGTCTTTTTCAACTCTTTGAGAGTTCAGAATCCTTGAGGGATGTTAGATTTTAGTGTGGGAGTAATTTTCATAAGCATGTAGATGGGTGTCATGATTTGCAAAGCCTTGTTGGTAAACATCAAGACCATGTTGAGTTCTCCACTGTTAAACTCAACCGAGTTGATTGTAAATTTCCCTTCTTTCCAACTTTGGGCTTGAAATTGCCATTCGTTATCCCAGTAGCCAACCGCCTTTGCAAAAGCGTTGACACCAGTCTTCTGTGAGCACCCACCTTCTTAGGGTGAGTTGATTTCTGTAGATTTTACTCCTCTTGTTATTTCCATAGGTGTGAGATGCACAATGCGAAACCTAGGCCCCAGCTTTTGCACCATGATGCACAGGGTTGTACTTTTTGTACTGAACTGATAGGTGGCCTAGTGGTTATGCCCTGTACTACCATTTTGAGGATCTGGACTCCGTTCCTGCCTTGCTCTTTGGACCACATTGTCAATTCACACCGGTGGGTATATTCATTTTGGAGGGTGGGAACTGCAGCAACAGGGAAGCCAGAGATTTCTTCCTCTTTGGTCACCACCAAAACCAACACTTCCAAAATTTCAGCCTAGCCACATTCCTCAAGGAACTGGTTAGAGCTGGTTGCCGCTGTGGGTTCTGAACAGAGAAATGACTTGTGGCTTGTTTAAGAGAAAATTTTAAAGTTGCTAATATTGTTTTAATGATTTGCATTCTGCACTCTTTGTGTATGAAGTACCTTAAGTATTTGATTACTGTTATTTTGATGACCCAATCTCAAGAGTTACTAAGGTTTTAGAAAACATAAAGATTCTCTGATCAGAACAGGCCTTTCCATGAACATGTACTTGCTACCAAAGATTGACAATGTTTATTGACACTCAGGGGTACTTTTAAGACCTTGATGCAAGTATTTTATAAAGATTCACCAAGATAAATCTTTGGGAAAATAAATGTTGTAGTCTTTGAAACATAGTTAACCAGTTGATGCTTAAGGGAGAATTTGCATTGGACATTTGCTACCAAGTAACATTTTGGTGAGTGAAAAGGAGGCAACTTGGTTCAGGTATTCCATTAGAGACTTAACTATAATTGCTTATACAATTTGTTTAGTAATTAGAAGAATCAGATATATAATCTAAATGGGTATTACTTGTAATTTTTAAATACTGTTTAGTATTTGTTAAGTAGATAAAATTTTGATCTGAATTTGTGTTTGATATAGAGTTGTACAACTTTTTAAATGACTAATTTGAATAAAGTTCTTTTTGAGGTTTTATGTTGGAGGCAAGTTTGTGAAGGTGTTTTTGTTTGATTTAGTAAATTACACATAAGATACAATGTTAACTGATGTCCTTAGTGGTAATAGCCATTTTCCCCCTACAGGAAAACTTGCTGTGGGCTCTTAAAAAGCATAAATTCTGCAATTTCAAAGGTTTCCTGATTTTGGCGTTCAAAAAAAAAGGTGAAACAGTTGGCCTTGATGGGCTGAAATTTAGGTAAACTGTGAGGGTTTATTTAAAAGCCTCAATTAACTAGAGGGTGGGGAATGGGTATTCTATTTAATTGAACTTTATGTAGATACTCCTTTGTTGTTGGCCCTTTTTGAAAATTTCCTAGTAACACTGCCTTACTAGAGACTGCTATACTTTGAACTAACTAAATCTTTGGTTTTTGGTTCTTATAGTCTCTATGTAGGAATTAGAGGAAGTTGGACTGTGAATCTCTAAAGATCCTTGGTCCTGCTTATTCTGAAAGTCATTGGTTTTAAACATACCTGTTATGAATTTGTTTTACTTCAGTTTGTCTTTTTTCCCTTAAACCGGAGTGCAGGGAAAGTTATAATGCTATTTATATTAAAAATAAAATGTCACCATGTTGAATAGACTAAATGTCAAGTAAGTTCTAGATTATTGTTATTTTGATGACCCAGTCTCAAGAGTTGCTAAGCTTCTAAAAACCTGAAACATTCTCTGATCAGAACAAACCTTTCCATGAATGTGTACTTGTTTGCAAATAATCAGTAGGCTTTATCAAATAAAAATGGCTTTTGATTTTTATTAGCTTTTGATTTTTATTAGTGATATACACTCCTACATGTCTTTATTATTTAATTTGCTTGCTAGAACTATAATTATACTAGGTGCATCATATATTGAAGTGTAACTACTGGTAAGTTTTAGAAAATATTAAAAGTACTTTTTAGTATTATGAAATTTTAAGTAGCAATCTGGTGGTTAATGTACACATTCTGACTGCACATTTAATTGTGAAAAATACAGTTTAATAAGGAAGATAGGACTGTTCTGTTATAAAGGAGCAAGTAGGGATCCCTCCTTGGGTAGGGAAAAAATAAAAGGAAAACTTGAGAATTTATTCTGAAAGTATTTTTTCTTTTGAGAACCTTGCATAAATAACAAATTGCATAAGTTGTCATAGACCTTGGCAGATTGGTTTTCTTAATAGATGGGTTGAGATACATATATACACACATGATAGTTTTTTAGTGTTGAAATGATATATACATCTAAAATACAAATAAAAGGTCCAAATATCCGAAGTAGTTTAAAAAACAATACATTTAAGCATATGGGGAAAAAAAATCAATAAATGTTCGGGGTTTTTTTTTTTAATCTGTTTGAACTTTAGATAAACAGTTTTTTTTAATGTGAAAATACAAAAAAAAATTTTTTTATAAGATTAGAACCTAATTCATAGCTTACATCAAGGTGCCCAAGTACTGTTGTGTAATAAACTACTTGTTCAACCTAGGCTTCCAAAGGACTTTCACTTTTAAAAAATGTCATCGAGTCTGTTATATCGTCCAGAAGGTGAAATATTTTCCATGAGAGTGTAATTTTCATTTATTTGCCTAAGAGTCATGAACATTAAGAGAAATGTTACTATGTATTAATTATAGTTAAATTCACAGACCTTGATGTGTTGCTAGCATCACGTAAACTTACAAAGGTTTTCCTCCCCTGGTTCTATAAGAACCTGTGGTGTTCATTCTGGAGCAAATGCCAGGTTTTGCTGATGTGCATCTCTGTTAGTTACACATTTTATGTTGTTAGGTTGGAAACTTGGTGTTTGAAACTGGTATGAGCCAAACCCCACACTAATTAAGTGAATTGATATTTTGAATGTAGAGGCTGTTTCTTGTTTACACATTGGCACCTTCCACCTTGATTGCTAAG